TTGAAAGTAACAAAAGTGAAGTTTTCCTCATTAATCTGGAAAATAAGGCATTTTAAGAAGCAATTTTTAGTGTCGGTGTCACCGATTGCAAAGCCAGTAGTATGGGGGGGTGATTACCGCCAAAATTTGATGTTGTATTATGCTGTTCTATTATGATCTTTTAGACTCCTCAATTGGTATTATGTCCTCTCTATTTGGCATTGTAAATTCCATTTGTCCATTCTGTATTTTGTTATGCATTTACACATTCTATTATGTACTTCCACTTGACAATATTAGAAATTGTATTCTGCTATTTTAACATGACGTTTTAGACTTCTGTGGTGATGTTTTGTTCTTTCTATTTGGCAGTGTAAAGTTCTGTATCCTATTGTGCAATTCTACATTCTGTTATGCACTAAAATATGTTATCATCCAAGATTGGGTTACTTCCGGAATTTTTGTATTCTGTTTTGCGTTCCCGTATTTTGATCTGTTTCATTTTGTCAAGTTGTATTATGCTTACGTCATATCCTGCATGGCACTCAGTGAAATAAAATTAGACGGCCAACCAGGGGAATGGCTATCGTTCTCAGCCACGCTGGTATTTCCCGCCATCCGCTGTCAACAATGGCGGACAATGTTGATAAGACGGATAAGAAGACGAGTATTGATCAAGGTTTAAAGCTTTTAAGAGAGGCAACAGACTTGATTTCTGGTTCCTTAAGCGATAATATTCCTCTGGTTGACAGTACATCCACTCCTAATGCAAACAGAAGTGATAGAATTGCCTCAAATCTTCGCGCGCTTTTCAGTGCATACGATGATGGCCCTGGTAGTACTCGACGTCACGCTCCACAAAGTCGAAATCAAATTGCAGGTCCGCCAAAAAAGAAAGGAGGGCATGCTTCCATTTTTTTCAAGCCTCGGGAAACATGGACACATGAATTTCTATGTCTGTCCTACTGTAGACAAGAGGTTGTTCCGTCGAAGGAAATGAAATGGAAGCTGCAAGTTGCTGGTCTGGGTAAAAAAAAGTTTGTTTTTATTCTAAGGCTAATGCAACGGAGGTCAAAACCAAACTCGAGGAAGTCTACCCTAAACTTGCCAGTGGCGGTGGTTTTGAGATTTTGAGACGAGGAATGTCAAACGAGCTGGTATTGATCGAACCACCGCCGAGTGGGTATTCTGTTGGGTTTCTCCGTGACATCGCAGGCCTGGGACAGGCAATAGCTTTTGTACGACCACTTCAGAGAAACTTGGATATGAGTACGACACCGTCAATTACCAACAGCTCAGAGGTAAGAAATTATTAGGGCGTCCTCTTTTCTTGAAAGTTTAATAACATGATGTTAATACTGTACATTCTGTAAATGGGTAGTATTAATTTAGGTTAATACATGTAATTAATGGGGAACAGTCATTGGCCAGAATTGATCATGCGACCTCTACATGTGCTTTAGTTGTTGGACAATCTCCTAGCGTTAGGCTTTGACAAAAGTCGCTCCGTGATCTCTGTCATTCGCCAGATCACTCTCCGTCCAAAATCGATCCAGGAGCCTCTTCCTTCCTCCAGGCAACTCTGTTTATCCTCAGTCGTCTTAAAGAAAACAAATTTCCTTCATTCAGCCACCGGCTTTTATTGGAAGAACTCCAGCTCATTTGTGGCGACTCTTGGTGTGTCATCTTTCCACGCTTCCTCAATTGAGTATCCTGAACCATGGCAGCTTCCAAGCCTAAAAGATCAGTCAAACAACCACTCAATCCAGATTTTGTGTATGACTTTCCTGCTATGGTTTTTCCTACTGATTTTGATCCAAATGCGACTCCCTCGGCGGCCGCTCAGTCGGCTGCACAGGTCCCAGCGACAACGCCAGCTGTGACGGGCGCTGTGGCAAAGAAGAAATCTACAAAATCCGCCAACATTCAAGACCAACTGGAGCTGGAGCGGTTAAAACAGCAAAACCTTCAACTGGAGTTAAAGCTTCTTGCACAGAAAGAAAAACTCGGCGCAGAAGCACTCCAAACAACACAAGACAAAATGTCAGCTGATGCACGTGATCAACTTATGCTCGACCAGTCGCAAGAAAAAATCCTTACCTCGCTCATGAATGAACTGACCCCACCGTCGCGAGAGGAGCAGATTCAGCTAGCAAATCCCACCTTTCCGGTTATGCCGCAGCTCAAAGCAAGTGCTAAAGGGCACACTGTTTTCTCCGCAAAAGGTACGTTGGATTATGATAAAATTGACATTTCAGAATTTGTGTTTGCCTTTCTTGAGTTTGTTCAACAACAGCAGCAATCACAACACCAACATCTGCTTCAGTTTCTCCAGTTGCTTATGGAAAAAGCTATGAACTACTCCTGGCCGAGTGTTC